CTTTTCTAATTCATCTTTCCTCCTTTAGCAACCCGATCCTGCCGTTTACCTGTACCTTTCTCTCCCTCTTTGGCACACACACACACACACATGCACTCTCACACACGCTTCAGAGAACAGTAACTAATAGCAACCCCATTCGTTAAAACGCCCCTTGATGTTTGACGGAAGCAGCGTAAATGTGCTGGAACGCCTGTCCTGTCTGTCTGGTTGTGCGACGCAGATAGAGAGATAGACAGACAGGTGGGGCAGAGACTCGTCTTACACCCAGATGGCTGAGCCCAAACAAAGACATCAGACTTTTAAGGGTTCAGGTTTTAGGGGGAAATTAAAGTTCAAACATGTTTTTTATGAAGTTTTATTCACAAAAGACCTTTAGAAGAAAACTGACCATTTTAAAATGATCAGTGTCATCCTTACCTCCTTCTTAGTTCATTTCCTGTTCATCTAAATAGGTGACTCACTGACCAGCTACTTCACCTACACCCTACAGGTATCAGGTTATACATGCGAACTGTGCATTCATACGTGTTTGACATCTGTGATAACTGCATTGTAGCAGCACACAAAGGCTGAGAGGTGTTGACAAGCATGTAGCTCTGGGCTTCGGGCTTGTTAACGTTAAGATGCTTAATTAAGGACATTCCAGATCCTTCTGTCTTACGTCAACAGAGCACGCAGGCGTGAAAGGTCAGTTGTGAAAAACATATCTCTAATATCACAATCTCCATCCCGCAGCTAAACGAGGTTCTTGAAGGAAATTATTGAGTTTAAACGGGTATTGTAGTGTTTTTATTTATTTATTTATTTGAATGAAAATGGTTTTTTGAGGAAATTAAACACCATCAACCACAGACCCAGCACACCGGTGATCAAGACACTTTAGCGTCTGTGAGACGCTCACAGGACGACTTTTGGACGTGTCGCCCTCATGCATCAAAAAGGACAACATCACACACTGAAGGGGAACACTGTGTGATTATGGAGGATTCAATAATGAAAGCTTCTAGGTCAGTTTTAGATTTACCTCATCATCTTTCTCATATAATTTCCCAATTTGCAAGCGAAATTTAGGGAAACAACAATTTTCACTCTTCTTAAAGATCTACTTTACCCATGTTTTAAATGGTGCTCTCTAGTAGGAATGCATTACAAGTTGTACTCTGTGGGGAAAAAAAGCTCCAGTGCTCCCGTTTCAGGAACAAGACGTGAGCCAGATCAGTTGAGCTTCAGACGGCAGGATCTCAAGTCTTATGGTGCGCTCGGTTTGCCTTGGAAGTCGGAACTGGGAATGGCGTCACACCCGAGGTAACAGCGTCCTGGTTACCGTAGTCGGAGAGGTCAGGATTCCAAAATGGCGACGCACACCTCCCAAGTAGCCATTGTTTGAAGATTCCTCTTAAGAATAGTTTTAAGCTGTACGTTCAATATTCTAAGAAAACTTTTTGTATGTTCATCTTAGAGTTGCAAGCACTACATGTAACACTGGTTTTAAACGTGCGCTTATAAGTGTGTTTTAAAATAAACACACTTCACCCAAAAGTTACTGCTGTTGATACGGAGAGCTGCCATTTTGGACGTCGAGGTCGGAGTTCTGAAATTCTTCCGAGTTTCCAACTCGAAGGTCCGACTTTGGGGGGCGTTTCATTAGAATTTTCCTACTCGGAAGTCGGGAATTCCGAGTTCCGAGGACAAATCGACCGCACCATTAAGTCTTGATTTGGATATCTTGCCTCTGATTGGCAAACAGCAATATGACTCTACCACTGACTCCGTTTGCAATGTTGATGTTTTATCTCCACAAATAACACAAGTCTGGAGGAGCTTCTGCCGTGTGGTGGAGTTGCTAATGCTAATGGCTAGCTTTTACTAGTTGAGATGTTCTCTGCGTTTGCTTGCTTTGTCTTGTTTTATAGTTCAGGATGTTTTTTTTTCTTTTCTGTTTATTAGGACATTCATTTTTTCAATCAAGACTTGTGGACAAATAAAATGGAGGTGCTCATCAGCTGTCCTATCCTATTAAACAATAACACCTTGTGACAATTCACTAATCATTTGGCTCTAACTAGAGATGGCAGTGGCGGCTCCAGCAATTTTTTTCTGCAGGTGTTATGAAGGAGCTAGTCTTTTTATTGAGGGTGCTATGAAGGAAGTGGTCACGCGTACCTATTGTTCTCTAAAACACCTTCAACACTAGCAGATACACATGCATGCACAAAACCTCAACAACACCTGAAACAATCAGTAATATACATCATAAACATATGAACAATCGCTGACTTTTCCATGAAATCATAAACACATACCGCCACACAGAAAACCATCTATAGTGTTGCAAGGTTAGCTAACCTTAGCGTTAGCATTTTCAGCGGCAAAACCCTCGACTGCTGCGGCGGTTGAGGGTTGACACTCTTCATCCAGATCCGTAGGTTTTTGTGGGTCTGAGATCACTTCCAAACATTCATTCGTTTCTGACTGAACCCGTGGAAACGTTGGCAACAAAAACCCATTTTACCACTAGCTCTACCTTTCACTCGTTCGCAGGTGGAAAATGAGGTCAAAGGTTAACATCAATTTCCTGTTTGGGTTTAAGTTTTTACTATCTATATGATAATTTACTGATTATTTTAGTTTTGTATGTTAAATATTATCACATCCACACGTTAAATTAAAATTAAATTGTAAAAAAAAAAAAATATCTAATATTTACTTGGGGGTGCTAAGACTAATCCAGGGCTAGCTATAGCGCCCCCTAGCGCCCTGCTGGACGGGATAGTGATTGTGACAAAATTGTGGAAGATAAAAATGATTTTTATCCAGCACAGCTTGACCCGTATGCTTACCTGTTACATCATTAGCTGTAGGAAAGTGGAAGAGGAGCAGGAGAAGTGATGAAAGACGGATAAAAGACGCAGGACTGGGGTTAGCTTATATAACGATCCAATTAGGATATCAGAGGCAGGGATCATTTTAAAGTTTTAACATGAGTGTGTTTAAAAATGTGGGAAGACTGCATTACAAGCCGGAGTCATCGAGCGTAAAAGTCCTACAGACAGGCCTGGCTGACAAGGATAGATGAGCTCAGCTAAATGACCCTGTAGTTGCTAAGCACTGAAGCGAACAAAGTTAAAACTCTAAGCACACTGAAAGCCGATCTTGTTTACCTTGAATGCTGGTATTTTATTTGCATGAGTCAACCTTGTGAAAAATCCATAACACATTTGCAAGGCTGTTACTGGGCATGCAATGTCAACAGCAAACAATATCTATGACATTCAAAATGCAAACAGCTGTTGCTATTATTCGACGCGGGTCTGTCATCTCATTAAACAAAAACTGTTCTACAAAGTTTTGTTCAAAAAGAATCAATCCAGTGTGGACGATGGGTGGCGAGTTTGGTGAGCACACATGCACGTAATCTCCGACCTGTCGAGGTGCAGGGGAGACGCTGCTGCTATCTCCTCGTCTGTAATCATCAAAGCTGGACCGACGTGATCCTTTAAGCTTTTAAACTCACTCTGAACTTTGCCAAAAGGCAAAGTTTGTTTGCCGCCATCAGTTGGTCCACACCCAACAAATCTCCACTGAACCAAACCTTCCTCAAAATGAGACACACAAACCTGCCGACACCATCTCGCCACTCCCTACAAAAACCACAACCACCAAGTCCCTTGTCAGGGTTTGGTGGATGATGGGTAAAAAAAAAAGTCCTTCTTTCCTCCCCTTTGCTGCCAAGAGGAAATGAAGGGATGATCCTTCCTCCCTCCCACAAAAAACCAACAAGAATCTTTTATAACCTGCTTGTTGACTTACAGGAAGACGAAACAGGCTGTGAGAGGTGTTTACTTCAGAATCAGATACTTAAAAATGACATAACAGCATTGTCCTGCTTCTCCAGTATCAGGACCCAGTCAGAAAGACAGGCTTACAAAAATGCGGTCAGTCAACACTATAGATCAACTAAAGTAATCCACCTGTCAGATGGAATCAAATGAAATGATAATCTTGTTATTTATGTAACAGGCTGCTCTAGCCTTCAGCGCAGAACATTTCCTAAAGTCAAGACAACAAAACCAACCCCTTCTAACAACAGAATCCACAAAAAAGGCTCACAGCCGCCCCGACAAGCATCCCGTTGAAGAGCATCACCTGGCAAGAGTGTGTCTGTGTCTGTGTGTCAATGTGTGTGCTGACACCTGCTCTTCCATCAGCTCCAGGACCACACCTGAGCCCTCTCTGAAGACAAGACTCCCCTTCACAGTTCCTCAAATTCTCCTTTTGCTGGGAACTAAACTTTTGCTTTGGGTGAAAAATATCTTTTAAAGAGCAGAGAGTAGAACAGGAGGTCTTCCCAGAGCGTCATCTGGTTCTAATGCGGGGTCTGCCGGTGTGGATTACAAGCACATATTACAGGAGAACTCGGGCTGACCCCTCGTCTCCATCCCGAGGGAAATGGGAGCTTGTCTGTAATGGGGGGGACCAAGGGTTTGAGAACCTGGGGGGGGAGTGAAAAGATGCCAGTGGGCAGACTGCCATCTCACATGGTTAGTGCCCTTCCTCTACGGGGGAGTGTGTTTCATCGATTACAGAAAACCAAGCTTGTTTTTTACTCAAACTCCCAAAATGCTTCTGAACAATGTCACTGCTTAGAAAAGCCTCCCTGTGACCTGTTGTGTTTTTACCAGAGCAAACTGTGACTGACTAACTAAGCAGTGTCTCTCGAATCATCACAACAAGCTTGTTTTGTCCCATTGAACACAAAAGCAGCTGGCCGCTTTGCGGGCCTTTGACTTTTACTGCCCTGTTTAACATTAAATGCGAGTTTAACTAATAATAAAAAACTAAGTTGGAACTCAGAGACAATATAGGCAGCAGTCCACGAGACTGGCAGCAAATCTAGAACATTCTCATTAAAGCAGCAATAAATCAAACGAGATAAAAAAAACAACGCGTTTCTGCTTTCCGTACAGAGCTTGTTATGTGAAAGCTACAGCTCCTACCTGTAGTACCGGGACTGTAGGTATGTGGAGCAGACAGCTTTGGACACATGGCTGGCTGAACCAAAGTCAATGACTTTAACCCTGTAGGGCTGTCGAGACGGGTCCACGAGCATGATGTTCTCTGGCTTCAGGTCTGCGTGGATCAAGCCGAGGCTCTTCAGTTTCATGAGCGCCGTGGCCACCTGCTGAAGCACAGGTCTGATGTACTTGAGAGGCAAAGGGCTGAACTTGTTCTGTTTGAGGAAGTCATACAAGTTCTGTTCCAACATCTCAAATACCAGGCACGTATGGTTTTTGTGCTGGAAGCACTCGTAGGCCCTCACAAAGTTGTAGTCGTCTGCGCTCTCGGTGCTGAGGCGCGCCAGGATGCTGACCTCGATCTGGCCCTGCCGCGCATACGAAGGGTGGTTTTTCAGTATCTTGATGGCCACTATCTCATTCGTTCCCCTCTTCCAGCACTTAACCACCTGTCCAAATGTTCCTCTTCCCAAAAACTCCAACACTTCGTAGGTATTGGTCATGGAGCAGAGCACTTCATGCTGAACCAGCTGGTAGTCCCCCTCGTTGTTGGAGCCGCTGTTTTTGGACGTTGCTGTGGACGTGGCAGTGGCCGCGGTAGCCACCGTGGCGCCGCTGGCTCCTCCGTTCTGGATCATTGGTGGGCCGTGGTCCTCAATGATCTGCACGCTGCTGTTATTGTCAAGCTCCTCGCTCTTACGTTTAAGCCCGCATCGCTGGTAAGTGTCTAGAAGACTCACCGTGCTCCGTCGCGTCAAGTTGTGAACGCCAACTCCCGCGCCCACGCCACTTCCACCTCCGCTGCTGTTGCTGCTGCTGTTGCCTCCACCACCGCTGCCCAGCAGAGACCCAAGGGCCCCCGAAGTGCTGCTGGCTGAGGCAACCACGATGTGGCCAGCGCTGGCTGGGAAGACGAGAGCCTGCTCGTAGGGCAGGGTGGAGCTGGCGACCTGCAGGGAGCTGTTGACGCCGAGGGCACCGCTGGTGGTCGATACGTTCTTGTTGCTGTTGTGGCTGTAGACTTTGCTGTGCGTGCCGTACCCTGTCATATCCCAGTTACAACTCCGCTCCACCTTGAGTTTCTTTACGCTAAAGAAGGCACTTGACTGGAGAGTGTGAGGGGAGAACACTTGCACTTGCGAGGCCATACCTGTGAAGAGGGCAAAAGGAACGAAAGTGAGAAGTTAGGAATTTGAGCGTCTGAAACATGAGCAGTGGTCACGAGCTGTAAATAAAAACTGCCCGGGTCAGAGCAGGTCACTAAAACACCAAGCAATGCGTCAGGATCACACAAAAAAGCGTATTAATCACTTGTCTAGTGTTTTATTTTTTAGAGTAATATGACGTTTCATAAAATGCTGTTATTATGTTACACGACTTTAAAAGGTCCAAAGTTCCAGAAAGGAGATCCACAGAGACTGAATACTGCTTATGCAAACTATCGGGTCATGCGGAGGAAATGCCTTTTCCCCGACGTTCCCATCTGCAGCCTAGTAAACAAGCTGGGTAAACACTAAAAGAAGACCACTTCCTGGGACATTTTACCGAAGAACACAGGAGCGATATGAAACAATGCATAAAAATAGGCTGGCAAATGTAAGATTCAGGGAATTATTGTGATATTCTTTTCCCGTACACACAACCACGCCTAAGCAATTATTGGTACACAATTACAACTTTAAAGGAAGTTGGGGGAAGAAATTCTGTGTAAGCGCGTATAAAAACAGGAGAGGGGCACTGAACTCCCGCACAACCACAGATCCTGAAAACAAAGCAGCAGCAAGGCTGTGCTCTGAACTCCTGGGAACAAGCTGCCTCAGAATAAGCAAAAGCTTCTCCAAGCAAACAACCGTCCAAAAGTAGTCTCTTTCTTTATCTCTCTTCTCAAACAGGCTTCTGTGTGACGCTGAAAAATTATTACAGCAACCCAAAAAACAACACGCCATCTGAGACGTCAGCTCAAAAACACAACGCTGCGATTAAACACGTTCTCACAAACCAAGTGTAGTTTACTGCTAACAAACTAAGAGCTTCCACCTGGCTATGCTGAAGCCGGCACACACAGTTAGGCTTTGCGGTTAATCAACTGACGCGCAACAGAAAGAGCATCACGGTCGTGCGAACACACAAACACACACAAGTCCAACACCGAGCCTTTAAACTCTGCACTGCTGCTGAAGTTGCTGCTTTGGTTCGCCTAATAGATGCTCTTGTGTTGCTTTTAATTTTTTATTTAAAGCTGATGGTCCCACGTGAATGGGGGAGTTTCTTAAGCCAGTAAAAGACACCATCACTTTGTCATGATTAGCCGTTTTTATTGTTGATGGTGATTAAGCTGGCGCTCCTCCACTCTGCTTCGGCTCAGTTGTTTTATTTCGACTTTGCTGACCTCTCTTTCTCCTACTTTTTCATATTTTTTTTTCCAGTTTGGCCCAGTTTGCCTCTGACTCGCTGTTTATCTCTCTGGTCATCTGGTCTTAGCCCTAATGCAGCAGGATTGACGTGGTATTTTATATTAGAGGGTGAGGGCTTACTAAAGGCTTGGCTGCCGTTGGACTGTAACCGATTTAGCTTCTCAAAGTTTCCTGTAACAGTTAATGTATTTAATCTTCAGAAAGGACTTTTACTTGTTCCGAGTAATCATTAGGATGTAGTTTTATTTTTCTTTAAGCGCGCAACGCCTGCTCGCTTCACGTCTGGTGCCATGGCTGTGACTCCGTCAGGGAGGTAATGAAGAACGTCCGCTAGGCTATTAGGGGCAAGGTTCTCTGCTAATCACATAAGCCCAGAAGGCCAGATGTCACTCCTTGGATTACCAATTCCTGTGCCTGGACTTTATGCTAAAAATAATTTGAATGATGGGTTGTGTCACAGAACAGCATCGACAGTTTTATGACTGAGAACAAGACAGGGCGATCACAGGCCCAAAATGATCGAGACAAAAAAAGACGTACGAGGAGAAACGGGGCCGGCCTGTTCCTCTGATGGAAGGAAATCTGCCAACGTGATCACGGATAGCACTGGTTTAACAATGCCAGGCTTGTTGGTCTTTGTATTTGTATCACACAGAGTCCTCCTGAACCCTCGTCACTCGTTGACCCCGTCAGAGATCCTTAAACATAGCCTACAGAGGTTCGGTGAACTGAGGGCCGTCGTGTCCCGCTAAAGCAGAGAAAAGTACTTACAACACTCTGTAAAGCCACAAGAAACTCTAGGATTTTGTCTCCACAAGTAGTAATGACCCAAAAAATAAGAAATAAGCTACACAAATGGCAGTGGAGTTGTGTGCCTTGTGCAGAACACAGATAAGTAATTAAATGAACCAAAAGTAAGAGGTCACATGATTGGAATGTTATCTCATGACAACATTCACAGGCAACAATGTGACCAATTATGCTTCACTGGGAAAGTGGCTCTACGTCTCATGAATCAGTCTTAAGGTTCAAATGTGTTTATGATCTAGAATCCAAAGGAAAATAAACCCTCTAAAGTGTCAGAACCAGCACTGAAAAACAGCTCCCTATGAAACGGTTCTCTTGAAGTTTACGTGAATTTCTGAGGTCTACGCCAAGTGCAAAACTGTAAAGGCCCATTGTTGTACATTTACAATGTTGGAATGCCTTCGGTAGCCAGGGCTTTCCATTTAGCATACCTAAAGCAGTATTGTGCGTCCCACACACTGCAATTAAGCATACCAGAGATGCGTGCTCGCTCCGTTTGGAGGCAGCATGTTGAAATGATAACAGTCAATGTTTTCAGAGAGATTACTTCTCTGTCAGGGGTGGGTTAATCTTCTTTTTGGGAGGATCAGGGCCGGTTTGCATGCCGCATAAGGAGGGGGACCAAATGGACCAAAAAGGAGGGGGAAGGAGTTTGAAGAGTGAGGTCATAAGTGACCCTTGCATTGTTTTCTGTTACGGCTTCTGCTCACAGACTTTTATTAAACCTGTCATGACAATGTGACAGAAATTTAATGAGAACTGCGTTTCTCCAAAAGCCATGTCAGCTTAAGATGCTGAAAACAAAATACAGAATGTCACTGCATAAAGATGCTTTACAACAAATGTTTGTAGAGATTTATCAATCAACAAAGGCACTGGTTCAATCTGCAACAAAGACTCAAAGAGGAGAGATCATGTGTACGAAACTCAGCCATCACCTGGCAGATTAAAGACTGTACTGTCTGTTCGAGGGGCAGGAACTTTGGGTATATTTAGACAACTTCTCCAGGCCTAATGGCTACTGGCACACATAAAAGAATAAAAACACTCTGATGTTCCCGTCTCTTAACTGAACATCCCGGCGTCTGCAGAAGAGGGAAGCATTGGTGGGGGTTGACCAAATTGGCTGGCTAATGAAATGACTTCTGACTGTCTAGACAAAGCATTATCCCACCCGGTGCTCCTGTTTGTATGTGCATGTGTGTAGGTGTGTGTAGTGTACTGCCTGTCACACTTCAAACCTTGTTTTTTCCTAAACACCTGGCACTAACCGATAGACGAACTGAGGAGTGCCATCTCTATCCGTCGTAAGTTCTTCGAGTATCTGCAAAAGAAAACAGCTTCCTGTCTGTAGGCTCCACATCCATCGCTCTGCATTCAAGCACACGTTTAGTCTCTTTTCATTCATGTAGGATGTGGATCACGTCAGTGAATACATCTTTACGGTTAGATGTGTAAAAGTAAAAACTGTTGTAAGACTGTTGGACAAGACCAAGAGCGATTATGGAGGTAAAAGCAATCGGGTAGGTAGGAACATCAGTTCAGTCTTCCTGTCTGGGTACAATCCACTTTGGGAGAGCCGAAGCTCGGTTTAGTATGCCTCGAGGACAACATTGACCATCCCATCTGCCTTTTTAGCTCTCTAGTCTCTGCATATTTATAAGTTAATGCATCAGACAAGCTCGCATGAGACGCTGTCATTCGGGCTCCATCAGACTTTTCTTAATCTACTTTCCGATTATCTTTGACTTGTAACGGCCTCGCTGCTTCAGCTCCTTTTGCAAATGTACAAAAGAGGGATGAACATCCATTCGGCATATTGACAGACTTCAATGGCAAATAAGAATGTTGCAGAACTTCTAAGCTGAACACATGGCTGCTGTAAATGTGACACTCCCTCAGCTCTTCCCCTTCCTGGAAGCAAACGTGCTGTGCTAGCTGTGAGATAACATAATCAGTCACCACTTGCTAAAACGCACGTGCGTAGATGCATTAGCGCTAAGGTTGCTCCACAAACGTTCCCGTGTGAGGGCGAGTGCACAAAGCTGCACATTTGCACTAACAGATGTGAAACGTGACTCTAACTAGCTTAACGTTGACATAAGGCGCAGTGCTAGAGTTTCAATGCTAACATTTGTATTGTGCTAAACTGCTACCCTAAAACAACTGTCAGTAGATAAGGAGGCTGCAATTGACATCATAAATGTGGCCATAAAGCGACTGAAGTGAGAGAGCCATTTGCCTTGTTTATACTGCCAGGTCAGCCTAACCAGGAGTTAAACCAAGGAGAAAGGTGGTTCAGGGGGGCAGTGGACAAAAGGAGGAGCCTGGGGCCATGGGAGGCATGGTGGCTCCGCTTGAGTGGGATTTTTTATTACTCCCAAAACAATCATTGCAACTTTATCAAAAACTTCTTCCACACTATGTACAAGAAAGAAGGAAACGGGAAGAAACTGTGCAGAAGCGGTTCTAGAATCGTGTCCGACAATAAACTGAGGACACCTGTTAACTCCAGTCTTTACTCGATTACATTCACTTCATGCACCCGGCAGCGCCGCTCTGACTGCACTGCAAGCAGAGCACTGAAACACACAGGGCCACACACACACCTGATAAGCAGCCATCCTCCAGACTGCTTATCAATTACGCACAGAGAGAAAAACACCCTACAACCGCACAATTCCTCGTATGTCACTTACTTAGGACTCATGGTGACAGCTGGACACAATGTACGGTAACGAGATCGGCACGTGGGAACAAGAAATAGCAACTAAACATAGAAAAACTGGAAAAGAGCAGATGAGAGCCACATGGGAAAAATATTGCGTGGTGGTAAAAGCTGGAAAAGACATGCAGGGTGGCAGAATTCCGTGAATCGTCGCCTTGAGGGTTTAAAACGTTGGGACTTTCAGTCGGTACAGGACAAAAA